GCTAAGAATTTTATTTTTGAGCTTTGACTTGTATTTTAGTTTAGCATTTCCGAGGACGGAAATATTTTAAGGAGGATAGATTGTAACGCCCAAATTCTTATTTACTATTTATGGAACTCGACTATATTTCCATAAATATTAAGTTTCTAAATTTGATGCATTTATTATATTTATTTGCATTAAATTAAATAATTAGTATTAAAGTCTAAGCCATGGGGAATCGTTCCAATTATTACTTCGGAGACGAGATAAAAATCCTAAGTATAAGTCTCGATTTATTATTTTAATCGAGTATTAGAGAAGTCGGGAATTTATTAAATTCCCGCACGAGTCCAAATATTTTATTTACCGAGCCCTAAGTGGGCTATTTTATTCCGGTCAACCGACCCAATTATTTAAATCGAGCCGTTAATGTTTGGTCAAAGCGGTATTTAATTAATGAGCCTTAGTTGTATTTTAAATAATCGAGCCTAGTAACGATTATTATCCGAGCCTAATATTTAATTATTCAATTAGTCGAAGCTATTTTACAAGCCCGAGTTGAGTAATATTTTTTAGCCCGGTTTAAAAAGCCCAATAGCACTATCAAACCCTAGTTCACATGGGTATAAAAATACCACACCATCATCTTCCACCTACCACACCTTATCCAACTACCACCACCAAAACATCATCTCCTCCACCAAAAATCAATCTTCAGACCGTCCATTTCCGTTTTTCCGGCCAAGCACCTTCATTTTAGCTGTTTTTGCAGCTCAAGCCACTGCAACCAAGCTTCAGTCGCCATCTTCTCCACGCCTCACTGGAGACCTCCCATCGCACGGCAAGCTCAGCCCTCCACCTCCGCGCAACTCAGGACGCCACCATCTCAGCTCATCGTCACCACCTTGTTGCTCGGACCCGCGACCAGCTTCCGGCGTCAAGCTTCCCGCTGTCGTCATCTCCTTATCTCAGCTCCGACCACCGGCAGCTCCGTTTTATCATATTAGATATATGCTTAGGTTGTGACGTGTATTTTATCAAATTAGATGTATGCTTAGGTTCGCGAAGTGTTTATCATATCAGAGGTACATTTAGTTCGCGATGTTGCAGATATAGTTAGTCAGTTGAGCAACCATTATAGTTAGTCAGTTGAGCAGTCATTTATAGTTAGTCAGTTGAGCAGCAATTATAGTTAGCCGGTCGAGCAACCATTATAGCTAGTCAGCTGAGCATCAATTATAGTCATCCAGTCGAGCAGCAATTATAGGCAGAGAGTTAAGTAGCTGCTATAGATAGTTTGCCGATTTAAGTATTTATTGGATGAATGTTTAATCAATTAGTAAAATGTTCATCATCATATCGTTTATGCCGATTCGGTAAGTACTTGTTTATATGCCGATGTCATGATATGTTATTATATTAGCTGTATATTTCAGTGTCGGTTCTGGCGGAGCACGTGGATTATTTATGCTCACGCCCCCCACTAACCATTTTTCAGGTGATGGTGTCGAGCGTAGAGCGTGAGCCGATGATGTGGTGGTCGTCATAGCAAGGATATTTTCAGTAGACATGTCATGTATATTTGAAATTGTTGGAGTTATTATGTTTTGTTCATGCATGCTTGCATTTGCTTATGCACTTGATATTTTAGTATTACAGTATTTCAATATCTAAAATTTCAGTATATGCATGCTTAAATCCTGAGATGTTTAGAGTAATGAATTATACTCGGTTGCATGCCTAGTAGTTTAAAGATATTGATGATTAAAGATTTAAAATTAAAGTTGAGTATCATCCCGCATATTAATGTTAAAGTATTTTCGAAAGATTAATATGAGTTTTCGAAAATTAAAACAAAGTTTTCCTTTTATAGCGCGAAAAATTTACTCTGATTTTAGTAAGTCCGGGCGGGGTGTTACAGCTCCTCTTGAACCGGGTTGCGTCTTCTTGATCGTCGGTACCTACAAAACACGCCAGGGGTGGTCCCGACGTAGACACTCTGACGCTCAAGTCAGTGATATTCCGGAGAGAAAACGACAAAATATTGAGATAATGCATATGTTTGTGTTGTGTAAAATGATTGAATATGTGCCCTTTATAGACAAAGTTGAAGACTCCTCATGGGACATGAAGTCTTTCCGGTGTATATCTTTCAATCAGGTCAAGAGATCCCGAAGCTTGAGAGTCATTGAGGTTGTGAACCTCATCATGACTTAATCACAAAACTACCTCCGAGCTTTGACCCCTCGACAGAACCCTCTTGCCGAGCTGCCTAGGTACCGAGGTGCCTAGCTGCTGAAATGCCTAGCTGCCTTGACGATCACATCCGCCTAGCTCACGCCGAGCTAGCCTCCGCCTAGCACCCATCTTCTCCAGAGGTACCGTGAACCACACCTAGCTGACCCATCTTTGGTATACCACCGAAGTGCTCATGCCAAGCTAGCCTCATGCATAGCTCTATAAATGTGACTAAATTCGAATCATAATCGGTCCTACATGAACTGCTACTTACGACCATATCAATTTAGAAAAAACTATAGCACACTGATTAAATTGTAAGATGTCATATAAAATATCCATGTGATATTGATATAATTTTATAAAATGTGTTACATAATTCAAATTGACAACTAATCCACCTCAAATTTAATGTAATCCGATTGACTCGAATGCATCAATCACCACACGTGCAAGAGTAATAATTTTATCAAAAGTGCTCCATAATTCAAATTAACAACTAATCCTCCTCAAATTTAACATAATCCGATTGACTCGATCACCACACGGTTACACGAACTTATTATTAAATATGTAATCTTGGTTTCTAATTTATTGTTTAATTTTAATAAACTAGCAATATTATTATTATTTATTAAATATATTTCACCAAAGTCGAACTCAAAGGCAAAAAAAAGTCAGAGAAGCAGCAAGCGGGGCTTTGGACCTTTGGGTACTTTGGACATATGAGAGTCAAATACCAAAGAGACAAATTAAAAACAAAACTAATAAAAACATACTTATAAAATATAAAAAATAAAAATAAAAATAAACCACAAACTGAAAAGTAAAATAAAATAGAAAAATAGAACGAATCCTACCAGCACCAACGCGTTGACCCTATCGTCAGTCATCGCACATCGACGCATGTGAGTTATAAACAAGTTAAATTGAGTTTTAAATGAAAAAAAATATAAAAAAATTGAGTTTTAAATGAAAAAATATAAAAAATATGAGTTATTTGTACATTGTTTGATAATTGGTACGTTGTTTGATAATTGTTTTTTGGTGATCTCTGATTCGTCCATTTCTGTAAGAGCAGTCGGAGGTACTAGACCAAAGATTTTGCTTTGAGGAGCACCCCAGTTGGCTACGACTCCAATAACAATTCCAAACATGCTTCAGCCAGAGCCGGTCTTGAAAATTGTTAGGCCCTGGGCTAAATATAAAAATAATGCCCCAAGTACTTAAAATTTTTAAGAAATAAAATAATACATATCCAACATTCTTTTATAATAAAAAATAAAATTTTAATTTCTTTAATATTACAACATCTCGAGAAAGGTAAAGAAATATTACCACACTGCACTATAGAATTACCATATTAGCACACAGACAGTTAACAACGTTACTTAAGCAGAATTACAACACAAAATTATAAGCAAACAAATAAAATCACTAAATCATTAAATGGTCTTTTCAATCTTTTTCATTTCTTTTGGAATCACTAAATTAGTACTGATGTTAAATCGGGCGAAGGTGGAGGAGAAGACTATGAGGAAAGTCGAAAGTGGCTACGTGCGGCCCAGCGGAAGGTGCCGACGGTGATGACGTTAAGCGGCAAGCGGGTAGCAGATTTTTCGTCCACGACAGAGTTGAATTCCATAACTACGCTAAATTGCTAATGACTGACTTTGTGGTTCAAACCTCAAGGGATTTTAATTGAAAAAGTTCTTCCCCAAATAAAGAAAAGAATTAATTGAAATATGAAGCTGAATATGAATAATAAAGATTAAAAATACCATATATAATTTATAAAATTAATTGATAAAATTTTAAAAATGAAAGAGATAAATTAAAGATAAAATGAAAGGAATTCTAAAGATTTGGGCCCTTTTTTTTCAAGATTTGGAGATGCAGCACGATAAATTAAAGACTAAGATTAAAGAGAGAGAGAGATTAGGTGCAGTCATTTACGGATGTATGCAACTATATATACAATACTACATACATACATACATATTAATATATTATATATAATATATAGTGGGCCTGGAACATGGTGCCCCTCATTTCACTTGGGCCTTGGGCCGTAGCCCAGGCTGCTCTGGGCCAGGGCCGACTCTGGCTTCAGTAATTTATTCTTCGACATTCATGATGTTTGAAGAAGAAGAACAAGAAGAGAAAAGAAGAAGAGAGAAAAACCATAAAAATAAACGAAATCGAGAGAATGAAGAGAGAGATCGGAAAGAATAAATAGAAATAACAATTATTGATTTAATTATTTAAATTGTTTTTTATAATAAGGAACATCTTGTAACTATTTGACAATCTTGGAATTATAATTTTATTGTTTCATTAATTGATTTTTTTAGGCAAAATTGTATTTTTAGTCTTGCTGGTTTAACGCTGTAACATTTTAGTCCCACAATTTTAATTTTTTGCCTTTTCATCCTGTAATTAGTATTTTACTGCAATTTTAATGCAATTTTAATTATTTGGGATTAAAATTGCAACAAAATTTAACATTACAGGACTTAAATTGTTAATAAAAAATTCGTCCAAAAAATTATTAATTTTAATAAGTCATGTAATTTTAAATTTTGTTGCATTGTCAGTCCTAATAAATTATTAAAATTGCGTTGAATTTTAAAATCATTAGACTAAATAGCAAAAATGTACAATTTTTAGGACTAAAAACACTATTAGATCAAACCAATCGGACTAAAATTGTAATTTATTATGGCCTTCTCATTACTTCGAGTCCTCATTCGTCATTTCGTATATTGTTCGTGCCCAAAATGGGCAAAACAGCTGTCTCTTTTTTTTCTTTATGTGGGGCCCACCGTTCCAAAATTTTTGAAACACAAAAGCATTGCCAGGTCAGCACACCCTCCCCAACAAAAATATTTTCAAATGCGTCTCCCTCTCTTTCTCTAACCCTCACCTGCCCCCCAATCTCCTACTTCTCGGTTGCTTAAAACCTGTGTACTTTGTTGACAAATATGCCCTCGCCTATATAGTGGGATTAATGTTAATTTCTTTTTGTAAATTTAATCATCACAAAATTTTGTATGTGCCAAACAAATTTAAAAAAAAAAAAATCATATTAATTCTTTAACAAACAAATACCTATTTATATTAAAAAATATTATACTTGTATTTATTCTATTTATTTAGTATAGTTTACATTTCATTTGAAAGTATCGATTTAAATTCAAATTTTTGCCTTTTGTTTATGATTGAACATTTTTGGAAAATGTACACATATTCACATGTAAAGTAAAGTAGTGGCTAAATAGTAAATACAACTTACTTGATTATTTTTTTAATACTTTCATTGATGAAGATAACTATTATATTTCTTATTTTTTAAGACAAAATTTATGAAAATTGTATTAATATTTAAATAATTTAAATACAAGGCATGAAAGATAGATAAACTATCAATTCGAAGTCTGAAAGATAGGTTTGAATTGAGAAAAAAAATCTTTCAAACCTCTAATTTATAGTTTTATATTGAATTATCTTTCAAGACTTGTATTAAAAAAACTCGTTTTGTAAATAAATTTGGTACAAACAAATGCATATATATAATTGAAGCCCAAAATCCCCCCCCCCCCCCTCTCTCACTCAGTTTAATAAGCTTTTTGAGACTCCCTCTCGAAAAACAAAAGGAAAATAAACCTACTTTGCAACCACTACAGTGTTCTCTGTACCTTCTCCCACCTGCTTGCCCATTTTTCCTCTTTTATTCCGTCCAACAATCTCCAAGCACGCACTTACCCCAAGTTTTACTGAAAGAGGAAGAAGAGGGTTGGGTTTTTCTTGGGATTTTTTCTTTTCTTTTCGATTTTTGGTGCATTTTTCAGTTGATAATTAACCAATCTTTTTTTTTTTGCTGGTGTTTTTCTGATTCTCCGTTTCACTTTGTATTTCTGG